AGTCATAAATGATTAAACTTGTGGAGTCATTCAGTTGGAGCTGCACGTTTTCACACCGTGTGGCCCTGAAAGACACAGGCAGAAATATTACAAGTTCCTAAAACCAAAATATCTATTTTAGAGAACTAAATATGACAGAAATCTGCTGAAAAATAAGAGTTAATAGGCCTGCAGCTTGTGATTATTTCCATTATTGATTAATCTGCCTGTTATGTTCTCAATTAATTGGTTGTTTTGTGAAATGTCCAGAAATATTCTTGTTTTATGTGAAAACTCAAAGGCAGCTACTTTCCTTTCACAGGTGAAAAGCAGCAAATTAAAAAGCATGAATGAGTTCATTTTTTTCCATTTTCATTTGGGAAAAAAAAAACTAATTAATGATGAGAATAGTTGCTGATTAATTTTCTGTCAGTGGACAGTTCTAGCTCTGTTTGATATTCACTGCTTGTGCCTCCAATTAAGGATAATAAGTGTGTCCCAGTGTGTCATTTTGTCATTTTTTAAAAGCAGAGTCGCTCCATTTATCTGTCTCACGTGTCTGCCAGAGTGATGAGGCAGTAACTCCCCACAAACTCTGCTTTTTTTTCAAGCAAAATTTAAATTCTACAACAGCGAATTTGTGTAAAATGCATGACAGCAAAGAGGAATCTTCTTCACATGCGTCGGCTCTCGCGGCTTTGCGGCACTCTTTCAGCATCTCTTAGCACATGACATGTGGCGCTCTCAGGCCCTCCTGTTTTGTGTGTTTGTGCGACACGTCGAGGTGTGACATTGTGGACTGGGGTGCTGCAGGAAGGTGCCAAAGCCGAACCCTGTCCTCATGAGGAATCTGTCCGCCTGTTTCTCAACTTTCCCTCTCCTGAGCCCTCTGCAGCTGGCGTCGAAGTCCTCTCCGTGCAGCAGCGTCGTTGTTGTCTTGCAAACCTTCACCCCGTTGTGTTTGGCAGCGTTCGAGAAGCTCCAAAAAGACCATCGGCTGTCATCGCTGCTCATTCTCCCCTGGTTATTATCGAGCCTGTGCAGAGCCACTTTCAGACATCACTCAGCCTGAATAAACAGATTGCCTTTTACTGACAGACGCCGCTCAGAGCAACAACCTTCTCTAGTTATTTCGGTCGTCTTATTCCGAGGTGTGAGGGAGCGTCAGTCAGGAAGTTCAGCTCAGGTTGGGTTCCGTCGACGTTTCACTAGTCCTGAGTTTGCCGTGGTGGCTGCCGCTCTCGTTTCCCTGCAGGTGGGTCGCGTTTCCAATTTGTGATAGTGGCGGTGGAACCGGACCCCTGAGGAATCTCCCCAGCGAGGTAGTTGTGCCAGAAGATCTGTGAGGTGAAGCCACTTGTTGCCAGATCAATCCAGGTGACTGAGGAAAAGGAGACGCTTCTGCAAAATCAAGAAAAAGAAACTTTAAATTTCAACATTTAGTCAAGCAAAGGTGAGGATGTGCAGTAACTCCGATCGCTGCTGACCCTCTTCGGAGAACGAATCCTCAGAGTAAAGTGATTGACACTGAACTGCAGCATCTCCAGTATACAGTAGATTTCTCTGTGGCGACAGCCTGTGCATAATTCTCCCTCCTCCGCTCTGCAGCCTCACTCCTGCCCAGCCTGGGGTATAAATAACCATGTGGATGGAGCAAATCTCAGCAAAGCCCAGCACTGTGGTACATCAGCACTTTGGAGAGGGCTGGGGATTATTTGGTTCTCTTATCTTCTTCATCTCTCTGTTGACGTGGCAGCTGCTGCTGTATACTGTGGGTCAGTAGGTTGCCCCAGCAACACAGTTTGCCGTCTTTCTCTGTGAGAATTGATGCATCAACTGTGCGATCCAGAGACTAAAGACATGACGTGTGCTTTTAGCAAGATGTGGTTCTTTGATAAAAAGTTCAATCAGAGACGTGTAGATGGGATTAAGACTGAGGACCAGGGATGTCTTGATGATGTCTACAACTTCATACCTTCACTGCAAAAAAACAATTAAGTGCATTTATTTTAACATTAACTTTTATTTACATTAAACTGCTGCACCCATGACGTCACATTTTGACTGCTGAAGTCATCAGAAACTCCCAGCTATCACTACATAAACAGCTTAATTAGCTTCTGTGAGCTTCGTTTGCTGCAACAGATGCGACCGTCACAATTCTAGAACAGTAACTGAAACATTTCAGGATGTTGATGACACGTTAATAAAAAGTGGAATAAACTGTGTCCAGATCCAGATGTTTGCGTTAAGTTTAACGTGTTTCCTCCTTTTCCTCCAAAATGCAGTGAGACATTCTAACTTCTCACTAACGGTCTCCTTACATGATTCTTGCCGGGGAGTTTTTATTACACAAGTCTCAGTGAACCTGTTGCTGCAGCTGAACATTTTGTTCTTATTGTCCATCGACTGTATGCAAAGATGGACCAACCCTCCGTGACGTCACCTATCATTTTCTACTGAGCAGTTTTTGGAGCCCAGTCTGGTGCCTGCAGCTGTTGCCATCTTTACATTTCCTGACTCTAGCTGCTCAGTCATTTAAAATCGAGCAAAGAGGTGGAGCTGAGGCAAGCCACGCAAATGTCTCTGAGCCATAGACAGTCCTATCAGGGCACCCATCTGTCACTCAAAGTGGCCACGCCCTTAAATTATGCATAACTTTAAATTAAAAAACCTAATCGATTTTCTTTTTCTCCTGGGACACTTGGTGGCAATTCTCCTGCTCTGGAGTCACCACACAGCTGGAAAATAATGTTGCTAAGAGCCGTGACCGTGATCCAAAACAGTGAGCTGAAAGACGGTAAAATGTTGTGTAGAGCTGAGAGGATCAGAGTCTGTCTGTAAAAATATTGATTAGTTCAGCTTTAACATCCATAACATCCAAGGATATGTCATTGATTAGTGATCGATTAGAGCAAGACGACCTGACTAATAAACAGAAAACGTCTGAAATGAAGCGACTTCATGATGAAATGACAAAGAAGTGTACGATCAGTTGCATTGTTGTGTTTTCTGTATCGTTTTAAAACTCAGCTATTATATGAAGGGCTGCAGCTACCTGTTAATCTACAGGCTAATGATGAAAATAATCATGGAAATAGTGAAAAGTCTTCCACATATAACGCTCGACAATTCAAAGACCCAAAGTTTATTCATTTACTGTCACATAAAATGAGGAACACATCAAGGGAGGATTTGTTTGTACATCGTTTTTATACTTCTGCAGAAAAGTTATTCGCTCCGTTTCAGTGCAGATGTAGCTTCGACCTCCCCCCCGATGTGGTTCGGGGGTTTTCTGACTGCTCTGCGGTGATAAACTCTGCATTTGTTGTCTCATCACCGTTGGCGACGGTGTGGAGGAAGGTGGAATCAGCTGCAACAACAGCGGGTTCGTGGCAACCGTTTCTGAGGGAAAGTGCACGGCGACTGGCAACAGGGAGCAAACTCTGCGTGAACGGGGAGGGAGGGGAGCCTTATTTTAGCCTTTGATCCTTTTTTTCTGTTTTGGAAAGGGAAGCAGACCATGCTGAGATGGCAGAGCTGTGATCGATACGAGGAAAAGGCTTTTTTTTTGCAGTTGAAGGTGACGAAGAAGCAAAGCAGCTTTAGTCCGTAGGGAGATGAGGCCCAACGGAGTCTGACTCACCTATTTTCATGCAATAAAACTGTTAAAAAGTGGAAATGCAACCTTTAAACAATGTGTTTCTTGCAGCTGGGGAGGAACTTGTAGTGTTTTTGTTGTGGCAAAATGAAAGCCATCAAAACCACACTGTGATAATACAGGGAGGCAAAATTATCCAGTAAATCATGAGGAAAATGAGGCAAAATGCACGATTTTATGTGGTGGAAATAGTGCCATCATAGTTTAATTGTATTGTCAGCCCTCATATTTTGGGTTCTACATAATTTATTTAATAAGAAGAATCTCAGGCTGCAGGTGACAGCAGTGATTTCTTTCTCCTCTGCAGGTTGGATTCCAGTTTAAAGCAGTTGACCCGAGTGTCTTGTTAACCAGACTGTAGCTAAAAATGAAAGAAAAAGACCTGCCGGCCCAGACTGGTGCACAAGGTGTGGATGACGCACGACAAGTGCAACAGTGTGTGAAGCGGAGCCTCGAGCTGTGGGCTCTCCGCTGATAACTTAAGCATTAACACAGGAGGAAATTTCCATCACGTGTGTCACATTAGATGATGTCATTTTCTTCATGATGTGCGTCGTGCGTGTTTGCGTCCGTGTTTCAGCTCAAGTAAGGGCGCTAGCTTTGGGAAATATAATGAAATCAGGATGACAAACTTTGTTAAATTGCTCACTTAAATGAAGTGTGTTATTAGCGTGCTTTGGTTTGATCATACGATGTATATGATTACTCTCCACCCTGCTGTTTGATCCAAAGAAGCGACATTAACAGCTGCACCAGCCAGAGAGACGAGATGTAATCTGTATGTGGGGGCTGTGGATGGATGAACATGAGATGAGGTGAGCGCTTGCCTGCGGGGCGTCTGCGCTCACATGGCAGGGAGAGGCACGTTTCAGCCATTCGACCTGAATGTTGAGACACGTACAGTAGAGAGACATCCAAACGCAGAGCGGTCCTGGAAACCCCTTGATATAATTGTAAAGTGAAGCCTGTGGATCAGCAGGTCGCAGCCTCACAGCGGCGTCTCTTTAAACGGGTCTCTAAGCTGATGTGACTCTAACAGTTTTGTCAGTGTGGGTTTTTAAAGTTTAAAGACTGACAAAAAGAAAACAGCAACGACGCCCTCCAAAAGAGGGATTTCAGCGCTCTTGTTTTGTAGTGTTTGCAAACAGCAGCGATGTTACTCATCCTTGAAGTGTCTGTGTGTTTGTCAGCCTACACTGAAATAGAAAAATGTTTAATTTGGACAGAAATTGAAGTCTGTTTTTGTGTTTCAGGAGCTGACTGGCTGGCCTCGCTGCACTACTATGACTCTGAGCTGCTGAACATTTTGTTTTTTCAAATTATTTTCCGTCCCTCTCGAAGCCCACCTGTTTTTTCCATGATGGGTTCCCGCAGCCAAAGCTTCTTCCACCACCACCACCACCATCGCAGCTCCATGGTGCCGGCTACAGTGCCGAGGCTGTTGCCCGAGAACGGTAGCCTGCTGGGAGGCATCGCCCAAATCACTCCCAACCTGTTCCTCAGCAGGGGCAACGTGGCGTCCAACCGTAGCCTGCTGCTGTCCAAAGGCATCACCTGTGTGGTCAACGCCACCATCGAGCTGCCCAACTTCAACTGGCCTCACATGGAGTACGTGAAGGTCCCTCTGGCCGACATGCCCCACTCCCCCATCTCGTTGTACTTCGACAGCGTGGCAGATAAGATCCACAGTGTGGGCCGTAAACGAGGGGCAGTTCTGGTGCACTGTGCTGCGGGGGTGAGCCGCTCGGCCTCCCTGTGCCTGGCGTACCTTATGAAGTATCACCGGGTGTCCCTGGCCGAGGCCCACGCCTGGGTCAAAGCCCGCCGCCCCGTCATCAGGCCCAACGGCGGCTTCTGGCGCCAGCTCATCGAGTACGAGAGGAAGCTGTTCGGTAGAAACTCTGTTAAGATGGTGCAGACGCCCTACGGGGTGATACCTGATGTTTACGAGAGGGACCGCAGGAGCCTCGCCCCGTACTGGGGCCTGTGAGGGAGGCTGTGCCAACCAACCGAGGGATCGAGGAGGAGAAGCGAAGCCCTTCTGCCCTTCTGGACTGCAGGTCCACGCCTGTTCTGGACAGGCGAAGTGAGTGTACATGTGTGTGAAGCTTATTTAATGAACAGTGGTGCGTTTGGACAACGACGGTGCTGCTGTTCGTCCAACCGGTTGTCTCCTTTTAGTCTTTGAGTGGGAACGAGACGACTTCAAGCCCTTCGGACCAGAGGATCAGATGGGACCACAGTGATGTCAGACACCAGAACTAGACGAAATTCTGAGCGTGGGAGTCGGTGCTGTCTATTTCTTGGCCTGTATTTCCATTTCCAGTGGATGACAGGCTCTGTGTGAAGGTGTTCGCTGTGCTCGAGACTCTGCAGCTCTGACAGTGATGTGACTGAAGTCCTTTTCCTGACGTGGTGTCATGTGGTGGTATTGTGCCAGTTTTGCAGTAATTTTTAGTGTTAAGGGCAGCAGCATGCTCTTAATTTATGGTAGCATTAAAAAGATAAGTGTACAGAAAAAAATATATATAAGCAAATTATTTTACTGGAAAATATTGATAGTGAGGAGAAAAAAAGCATATGGTGCACTTTACCTGAACATTTAAAGATGTTATTATATCTACCTTTTTTAAGGTGAACACTGAAAAGATGTAAGCTAGAAGTCAAGGTTTAGGGAAAGCTCCTGTGTAACACAGGGTTGACTGTTCCGTCCTGTGACCACACTATGTTATTGTAGTGCTATTTGATGCTGTATTAAAAAAATATCTGCTGCCTCAAGGCAAGTAGTAGCTCCATGAAGTGTGTTTTCTATCACACGGTGTTGTGCCTTGCGTCCATGTTCGGGAGAAAGATCGGCAGCACAGCAGACTACTGGCCTACTTCTGTGGTGTAAAGAGTAACGCAGGCTGAAAATCTTCCATCTGGTGGGTGAAACTTCAACTTTGCTGCACGTTCTGTCGACTCTTCAGACGCTCTGTTGGTAGGGGTGAGACAAATAGCAGTAAATCTTAAGATTTTGCGGCCCTAAAAGAAAACATAATCTGGTCAACAAATAGAAGGTTTGAATTCCCACTTTTTAAAAACTTCTATTTTAGTGGTAAATTTTCTTTACATACGGCACCCTTTATTCTTTATTTCATGCGTTAAATACATTTACTTCCTCATAAAACATTGCCAAATGCCAATTTCAAGTAACGTGCATACAGTCGTACTTACCCTTCTGGCTGCTTTAGTTGGTGCAGTGCTGCGTTCTGCATTAGAGGTGTAGTGTGACAGGACTGGAGGCAAAAAGCCGCTTCAGAGTGCGAGAAGAGGTCGAAAACTCCACTGGGCACCTTTAACTTGCAGTAATTGAGGTGAATCATAATTTTCAATTAACTTAATTAACTATTAACCTTCTGAATCCCAAGCAGTTTGTGGGTGTTTTTTTTGTTGCTCCTCCTACTCACTGTGGACGTATTTGTCATTGCAATATAAAGACCAGCACGTCGATGGAAACACCACGACCATGGCTGGAAGCAAAGAGAACTCAAGATGCCCCCTGTGTGGTATGACACAGTTAAAATGCCATAAATCATTAAAAATAATAATAATAATAATAAAGAGAACTCAAGATGCCCCCTGTGTGGTATGACACAGTTAAAATGCCATAAATCATTAAAAATAATAATAATAAGTTGAATCATTTGTTTTTACATAAATTTAAAAAACCTGGAATCAAAATGTCCAACATTTTTCCATATGCCCACATGTGATACCAATACTGGAAAAAACAAAAAGCAAAATGGGGACTCCACATTCTGTAGGTATTGACATAATATTGATATTTTATATATTTACTTTTTTTAGTTGGTTTTCATACTTGTCTCCTGTCGTCTGTGTAAACACAGCCTGCAGTTCAGCCACAAAGTTCCTGAATTTTTGTCATTTGAATTTTGGTTGCAGCTGAGTCACAAATGGCTTTTTCGGTTATGTCCTGAAGCCCACAATTTTTATTTATTTATTTATTTATTTTTACAAATCTGAGTAGAGCAAACTCTTTATTTTGGGCAACTTTTTGAAATGAGACATGTAGAATAGACTGATTTTGATTAAAGATAATGATTCTAACCATAGATTTGGTGATGTTTCCCAACAGAACAGGAACTAATAGATGAGTATTTCAAGGAGCATCAGACACTTTTTTCAATTTGAATGTTTTAACCATTTTTGCCTAATAACTGGTGTACATTTTGATGATTTTTATACATTTTCTCTCGGTTTATTAATTATCCTGGGTAATCCAAGATATTTTGGCTTCACTTCTGGGGAACTGTCATTTCATCTGTCTTCATACACGATATATGAACAGGTGTCCAATGATGCAGTACTACAGGCAGCATCCTGGACACTACTGCGTTTATTCTGGGACTCCACTAGAGTAGCTTTTTCAGGATCCACAGTTAATCCAAACTATTATTTTTCTCATATTGACTCGTCAGTATATCCTCTGTCTGAAACGAGCTGCTTTAGCTACTGTCTCTTTAAGACCCCCTTTTTTAAAGCCCACTGTCTTATGATTGGCCGGCTTTGAGGAAGCCTTTTGTTGTGAGCATTATCACCTACTGGTGTGGAAGCTCTGAAAGCAAATGTAAGTTGACAAAGTAAAATATTATCTTGTGCTTGATTGGAAATGGCAGCTTCTCAAATCCATCTGTGCTCGTTTGAGCTTGGATCTGATGCAGAATAAGAAAGTGGACCTCACTACAACAACAAAGATTGCAGCCAGACATTTCTGTTTGGTAAATATTTAGTTTATTACATGCACTTGTTGTACATAATGAGACATTGAATCCTTCAATCACAAGCCGTATATAAGCATTTTTTATTTTATAAATGCTCCTGCAAATAGGGGTACATTTGGGAAATGTACTAAAATGCACACTGAAGTGGAAACACTTGGCGTCAGGAAATATAAAAGGTACATGAATATGTACATAAAATCACTCAGAAAACCATAGTGTGACTTTGTGGGTCTGCTTTTCCTGGAGCAGATGACCAGTTTGGCTCAAAAGTAGGAAAAAAAAAACAGTTAGAAGCTGAGTAAAGTCTCACAGGGAGAACTTTATCATGATTTTACCTCAATATTTAAAACCATGCCCACATTTAACATTAACAGCCAACACCATAACATTATATATATGACAGAAAACATGGAAAAGCACAATATGTCCCTTTTAAGTTGACTGTAGAGTGACATAATTCAGCTAATAATGATGTTTTTGCCTAATGATGATCCATTTTTGGCAAGCGACTTATCAATTTATAAACTATCACTCTTGGCTCTGGAAAAATCAGTAATGATTAGTTTGAGAAGTGCATAATGAGGACCTGTCTTAACTCTCAGTGCAGTCATTGTTGATTGTGGTCATACATAAAACAGACCAGCAGTGAGTTGACATTTTTAACCCACAGACATCAGTGCATAAATGCTTTTCTGCCATAACAGATTAAGTGTGATATGACAGTTTAAAAAAAAAAAAAAAGGAATAAAAAATCAGGGGTTGTGCATTATTTCACGCCCCAAGAGAGTGGCATTAAAATGTAAAAATAAAGAGCTCAAGCCAGTCAAATTCTAACACAAAATTTCGACTTTGACTGGAATCCAAGCCAACATTTACTTAAAAACAGGCAAATGTTTATTTTCTATCTGCGACTGGGGAGGTCTCTGAGATGTTTTCACATGAACAGGCTGCGGCGTCTCCTCCTCCGAAGGCCTCTTGATGTTCACTCTGCGAAGACATTTTCCCCAAGAGATGTCTTCAGATGTCAAAGCAGCGTTCTGTCATTCATTTTCATTTGCTGTGGTTACACAGCAGCAGGCAGATATTGATGAGCGCTATTTGTCTTGTGCCCACACTTCAGAGAGGGACCTCCGGAGTGGTCTCCACAATGAAATCCATTACCCGCAGAGACGAGGCCCGTCTGATGACAGGCCGACCACCACCGAGATGCTCCAGTGATGGGTCCAAATTATACATTGCACACACTATTTCTCCCAGAGCAGAAATGAATCTTTTTGTTTCCCCCCCCTTCACCCGCCTCCCGACTGCGTTAATGTGGCTGCGTGCACGTGGTTTCCAGGGCATAGTCGAGCACTAAAAGTAAACACATCCCTCACCGGCAGCAGCAGGATATTATCATCTATCATTAAAGCAGTAAGCAGAGCCATTTGCATCACCCTGAGCAGCGGAGCAGGCCCGGCTCCAGCGGTGCAGGCCAACCAGAACCAACAGCGCTGATGAAGTTTGTGGAGGCGACATTCAACTCATCAGGAAGCCGCAGATACTGGTGAGCTGCAACAAACTGCTGCGTGTTAATATTAGTTTTATGGTTCTTTAATATGTTTTTTTTTTCATGATTAATTTGTTCGTATTTAGCTCAGAGAATATTAGAAATTAGTCGAAATTAGCAAAGTGGCACTTGTTTGTCCAAACAAAAAGCACTGTGACATTACAACTAGGGCTGCAGCTATCGAATATTTTTGGTAATCGAATATTCTATTGACTGTTTCGTCGATTTATCGGGTAATCGGATAATTGACTCATACAGCCTCAGTCACTCACAGCAGGCTTTGCATCCCAAACACATTGTGTCACACTAAAAAGAGTCTGTGCGAAACGTGAGCTTTAATTTTAATTAAAGTTCCAGTTCTTGCCGGGGACAACATACTGGCCAAAATTAATTTCACCATGTTTGGTTAGATCTCTCCGGGTTCTCTGGCTTCCTCCCACAGTCCAAAAACATGTTGAGGTTAATTGGTGATTCTAAATTGTCTGTAGGTGTGAATGTGAGTGTGCTTGGTTGTCTGTCTCTAAGTGTGGCCCTGTGATAGACTGGTGACCTGTCCAGGGTGTCCCCTGCCTTTGTCTTGAGTCGGCTGGGATAGACTTCAGCCCCCCAGCGACACTAGTGAGGATTAAGCGGTGTATAGAAAATGGATGGATGGATGGATGTTTGGTTAGACCTCTGGACACCACTTGCTGACCAGTCTGTGCAGATCTGACAGAACTACGAGGCTCAATAAACACATCTCTGATATGTTTTGGGCCTTGACCATTGATAGACTTATACACAGTAAGAGTCATATTCAGCAGAAGCCAGTGCAGGGATTTAAGAGTCGGAGTGTTTTCCCTTCTTGGTGTTTGTCAGTATTGTAGCAGCACCTTTTTTAATGAGTTGCAAATGTCTAACGGTAACTCGACTACATAAAGTCCTATTCCCCAAAAAAACAACTTAGCATTTATAAAATTGGAACATTTCCTGTCCATCAGTTAATCATTCAGAATCATAGCCGCTATTAAGGAAACTGGGTTCATGTTTGCATCTGAGAATTAGTTTTAATAATTCTTTTCTACAACTGTAAAATTAGATTGTGTTTTTTATTTTCATTGTTTTGGCAGAAATGATCAAATTCTTAAAAAGATAATGAAGTGAATTAGTGCTGTCTGACAATGCAGACATGTACAGACAATACAATACAACAGCATAGAACCGGAACAAAAGCTGGTCAGATGTGTTCGCATGTTGTTACTTGGTAGAAATCTGTTTTTCTAAAATCTCGGCTGTGATCGTGTAAATATTTCAGACCTTTTTTTTTTTTTTTTCATGTCACCCGCACAAAGCAAATATGAACATCTGCTGTAGCTGCGATGAATTACTGAATCACGGCTTCTCTGGGCTTCAAATTATACAGGCTTTAATGATTCACTATAATCGGCCTGAGCTACAGCATTACTACTCCCCTATCAGTCAG